AAAATTTTTATATTTAATTACAATTATTAATTAATTTTAATTAATTAATAATAGTAGCCATATCTAAAAATTGTTTTATTATTATTAAAATTTATTTTATATATCAAATAAAATTATTTTTCAAAATAAAATACATATATTATAAAGTTTTTATTAAATTTGAACTTACATGTTAAACAAAATTTATTAATATCAAATAATTTATTAAAACAATAATTATAAAAATTATATATGTATCAAAATTTTATTCAATATTAAATATAATAATAAAGTTTGTTCAAATTTAATAAAAATTTAACCATATATAAAATTTATTATTAGAATCAAGTTTACTTAATATATAAAAATTATTTTTATTAATAGAATAAAAGTATGACAACTATTTTAATTAATTATAATAATTTTTATATAATCTTTATTTATTGAAAAAACTGTATATATAAATAATTAATTAAACAAAAAAATAGTTATATGATTATTTATATAATATTTAATATATTACAAATTTCTAAAAAAAAATATTTATTGATTAAACTATTATATTAAATTAATAAAAAGATATAATAATTGTTTTTCTTTTTGAAATATTCTATATGTTGCATGTTCGTATTTACTTTTTAAAATATTCAATATACTGTACATAAGGATTTTTTAAAATTTGAAGCATTTTTATTAATTTACAAAATTCAATTAAATATACAGTATAAATCAATAACCATGGATAAAAAGGTCAAATTTGACCTTAAATAGTATATATTTGATTGATTATGAAAGCCAATATTCTGCCTAAATAAATTCACGGAAATAAAATTCATCTGATATATAAAGTTAACATTTCATCTCTTACGTCCATAAGCACGAATAACATCGAGATAACTGTTATTATCTTCTAACTCTTTTTCAAATGTATCGATAATTTCGTCAAATTCTTCCGAGGTTACTTCTAAAATTGATAGAAAAATGGATTTCATGTTGCGAAATACATCCTTGGCGTTGTCAATAGCCTATAAAATAAATTTTCAATTAGCAAAATTATAAAGATTTCATATCGAAGCATAAAACTCAGTACCGCTTTTCCTAATCTTCCATCTTCGGTCTTAAAGCTCATTATATTTTTTTCTTCATGGATATCTTCGAGTTGACTATTTTGCTCTAATAATGAACGCAGCCTACAGCTTATATTATTATCAAGGTTTCGAGTTGTGTGTATTCTATAAACTACATACAATATATGCATATTATTAATATATTATGCATTATTTTTTGATATTCCTCATTTATATACAGTATCTCACCGGCATTAAACATTCTAGTCGAAATGGGCCCTAATCTATGACCAGACGGATTGATTTCTGATAACTAGGAAAATAATGATACAGGTAAGAATTTCAATCAATAATAGATAAAAATTTTTAGATTAATACTGTATATAATAATACCTCTAAATAACCTCCAGGTTTTAAAACCCTAGTTAATTCTATAGTAACATCAGGCCAACGATCCGAAGGAATTGCACTAATCATTAAACGTTGAAATACAAAATCAAAGGTGTTATCTTCAAAGGGTAATCCGTTTAAAACATCCGCATAGATGGCGGAAACATTTTTAGGTTTGATATCAGTAGGTTGAATGGGAGAGATATCAACTCCTATTATTTTTGCATTTGGATAGTCTGTTGCTACATCAAACATCCAGGAACCTACACCACAGCTTTGGAGAAATAAAATTAACGGATTTTCTTATAAAGATTCGTTATGGATTTTTATTATTCTATCTTACCCAACATCAAGAATCTTTGAACCATTTTTATCTAAGACCTGCTCAACAGGTGCAAAAAAATTACTCTTGTAGATATGTCTATATAAGAAATGTTGTAAATGCAATCGATCTAATTCATCATAGTCGTTTGGAAGATAATATTTTGAACTCTCATTATTATGATATCTTCTTCCATCAATGTGCCGAAAATTAGATTGTAAAGTTGCTTTTTCTTTTCGATTCGAATATATTTTGCTTAGTTTTTTAAATGCATTTCCCATATTGCTAATCTTATGTATTATGATGGGTCATTTAGATTGTCAAAATCAAGCACAGTACGATATTTATATGGTTTTATTTTAGATATTTAATTACAAAACCATTCACGAACATGATGGCGAATATACAGTATACAATTCGAGAGTTGGTTATTACTGGTTCCGCGTGAATATACTATTAATCTAAATGTTAACTTATTAGAAAGTTTGAAATTCAACAGATAACTCGAATCATTCCGTTTGTGTCAATAGTCCCGATTTTTGGATTTACTGTACATAGCGATAGACTCACATACATTACATAGTAAATTATTATGGTGGTTACACCAAAATTAGTCGTTAACCCAGGTGTGCCTTTAATTTGTCTGGCAATATTTTTTCTGTTCGTACTGACAATATTAGATGCATTTAATTAAACATTAGATTGGAGTATGGAAATTTTTGTTTTTTAATCTGACTGTGCAATCTTTAGTGAGAAGACATTTCTCCCATTACATCTTTTTTTTTCGGCATAAATATGTCACGTAACGTTAACCAGTTTTTTAATTCTCTTGCCAGTCGGGACCCACGACCTATAATAAAAACATTAATAAGTAA